TCAAATGAGGGTCGGCAGAAATTCTTGCCTAAGGATCTTATAGGTATGCCTACATTGACCCCCCAAACCACCCCAATGTAGGCATATATGGCATACATGGAGTGTCTGGGATGGAGATAGATAGTCGTGTCCTGACCTATCTACCTGAGTCTTTCAGGTCGAACGAGAGACATGCTGGGTGGGAGCAACAGGTTTTGACCCATCTTCATTTGGTGCCCAGCCTTCGCGGTCAAGTATGTTGTGCAGCTGGCGCAGTGTTGATACATATAAAGCTGCAGAGTAGCAATTGAATTTAGGAGCTCATTTCGATTGGCCTTTGAGCCCAAGGAACCGTCAATCCCAACGTGGTGTAGATGTAAATCCCCCTGTTCCAAGCGGCCAATGCTATTTACTAAGCAGATGAAGGATAGATTCTAGTCTAGCTCGCATAGATGCCACAGTCTCCCCATATGTCACCATACCATATGCTGCATTGTCCCACATGAATTCGTAAAGTCTTTTACCAGCGGGTTTGCGTGGCATCCACCTTTTCAGCAAATAGCCGATTACATACGTAGATTTCACTTGTTTCTCTTTTATGTGAGTATATATAGTATGCCATGCTGAATTGAGGGTTCTCAACGTTCCCATCTTGCAAATTGATGTAGTGTTTGTAAAGGCGTGACATACTTCCAGCCAGTTTAAACCCACAGCAGGGGATCCAAAGACAGGCAGGAATGCCCAGACTTGGGAAGTTTGGACTTCAGTCTAGTGAACCACAGGCCCCCAAGCCCGAGTTGCTTCTGGCTACAGCCAGAATAGCAACTAAAAGCTAGCAGCAGTTTGACTGGCGGCTTTCGTCACGCCATGCCGGACTCGCCGGTGCCTGCAGGGATTTCGAGGATTTGATTGTCCTCACCGAGCCCTTGTTCGAGCAGGATGTGGATGAAGGCCGAGAGCAAGAGGTCACCCGAGAAGAACTGCTGAATCTTGGCGGTTGGTTTGGAAAATCCCTGGGGGGCGGGAAGGAAAAAAGTCGATCGGCCGGAACGGCCAGAACTCTCTGAGGTTTTTGGGGATGGGGCCCTGGGAGGTCCGGGGGCGCAGGCCATGCACTTCGGCTTTCCCAACCTGAAAAAAAAACGGACCCGGCTAGCTAGCTTTCCCATACACTCCATGTATGCCTACATTCATTGACCCCCTGGCACCACCCCTGGCCGTTTCTCGGCAGTCCTATGGCAGCCCTATTAGTCGCGTTTGGGTTTCACAACCATCAGAAGCTTAGCTTAGCTTAGCAAGTCGAAAGCCCTGAAGTGAACCTCATGAGGTGCTTCAGGGCCGCCCACAGGGGAGGATGCCGCATTCAACGGCCGAACACGACGTCACAGACGTCCATGTTCCGCAGCACCAAATCCAAGGCTTGTGACGTCACAGCGCTGTCGACCCAAATCCTCGGTTCCTGAGGAACGTGATCCTGAATATGCGCGGAGATCGGGATGTGCGGATGGAGGATCTCGTTCGACTACGTTGTGACTTGCGCCGCTACCTCTCGAGGCGCCGCCCGGGTTCCGCGGCTCCGCGGACGAGTTGGATGACCAACTGGCGAGGTTTTCCGTCGGACCATTTGTGGCGCACCGCCAGAAGAGGACTGAAATGAAAAAGTTAGACACTAAGTTAGACTAGACTCATGAATGGATTCTTTATGATTCTTTGGCACCTGAAAAGAAGCAAATCTTGCAGCCCCAAGCAGGATCAGAAGAACCAGGGTCACGATGGTTCATGTGTAACTACTGTTGATAAGAATGACGAAGGAGAAGAAGAGGAGCGGCACAAGCACAGGGCGACATTTGCAGCGAGGATCAGTGGAAATGAAGCCCTTCCAAAACTACAGTTAGTTCAAACCGTATTAAATTAGTATTATATACTTACTACCCGCGAGCAGTTCTGGTGTGTATACGGGTACTTTGCGAGGGGTTCAATCGTTATATAACCCCCTTTTGGTCCCTTGTGGGCTGAGCTCGTGGATTCGTGGATGCTGGCCACTCCCGCCAGTTTCCTTCACTGAACGAAAGAAAGGATGTTGACCCACCGGCGTTGGCGGTAACAACGGTCGCTTTGTGGGCCAACTGCCGGTCAGCCACAGGCAGTTTCAGCAGTTGACCTCCTACTTCGATGGTGAGGCGGACGGGGGACTTTGCTCTACCCAGGGTGCGTTTCTGGTCCAACAAGGAATCATCAGGAATGACGGCGCAGCATTAGGGTCTGAGAGAGCCCCAAGAGGTGGTTCAAACATGTTCAAACGTGAAGTTTCCTTGAAACCAGCAATGGTAGGTTCTTGACATGCCATGAATGGCAAAAAGTGGTTCTAGAAGGAATGGTAAACCTGGCTGCGGTGAGATAAAACCTGGCTTTTTGGATCCCCTTGAGAAAAGGGTCCGCGCGCTCTTGTGTTTTAGCGCGCGCTGCAGAGAGAGAGAGAGAGAGAAAGAAAGAAAGAAAGAAAGAAGGACGGAAGCTCGCGCAGGGGTGGAAGGAAGCTCCATCCCAGACACGACTCATGGGCTCATGGGACTGCCATAGGACTGCCGCCCCAGAGGCCGAGCCCCCCCGAAACCACCACCCCGGGAAAGGCCGTTTTGAAGGCAGTCCGACAGTCCCAGACAGGTCGCGTCTGGCGCCAAACGGAACGAGAGACGTTTGGGTGAATGGGGCGGCAAATCTTCCATACATGGAGTGTTTGGGCTATATGTCCACCAGGTACCTGTGTCAGAGTGCTTTACCAAGTACTTGGCCGATTCACGGAGAAGGTGAGGACTCTTTGAACAAATAACCCAAGTGCGGCCGCCGTAGGAAAGGGAGGTCATACATCCCGCATGCTGGTGTATTTTCCGATAGTTTTGCAAAATTGGATACGTCAACATATGGAGTCCGCAACACAATGTAGCTTCAGGCCAAGCAAGGTCTGGTTTTGACCCACCAGTTCTTCTGGACATCGAAGATATCCCTACAAGTCCAGTTGGACCAAGTAAAAACCTGGTCCTTCCTGCATCTCGTTGAGTCCTTAAAATGAGTCATGAGTCATGTGAGTCATGAGGGTTATCGTTTATCCCTAGCTCTGGTGTTTAGCTTTTTTTCTTCCAAATCCAGCATAGACGTCCTTCACTTCCTGCTCGCAGGTGGGAAACCCGCTACGGCAAGAACCGTGGCCATGAAAATGCAATGTGGCACCCACGCGGCTCGCGAAAGCGCCACGAAGAAATCAGCTGCAGCACTGAGCATGTTGATTGAATCACGTCATGTTGAAGGTGGCACTACAAGATCTGGGGGTTGTTGCTGTTCGGAAGGTCATCAAACAGGTGAGAATAGGAACCTTCTCTAATCCTTGTCTCGCCCTTCACATGTCACATGCCCACTATATATTGATTCTATTTCTGGGGTTGCGAATTTGCTTCGAGGACTTGCATATGCGACAAAGCAAGACTCGCAATCCAACGATTGCCAAAGTACCGACTTCTCATGTTTGAGATCCAATGCTCTTTAAAATGCTGAATCCGTTCCGAACATCCAGATGAGACCCGATCCCTGGACCTCCAGTATGCTCCATCCAGTGCGGCATTCGGGGGCATTCGTTGGTCCAAACACCTGAGAAAGTCCTTGGAGACCTAGGGAGTTCATTGTTGCGTGTAACAGGGGGTGCGTGGGGGGTCGGCATGGGGGGTTGGCATGGACAACCCTTTTTGCCGATCACATGAAATGGATTACCGTTGTTTTTGTCTCCACGCGGTTTCAAGGTCCTTTAGTAGGTTTTTCTGCCACCAAGCCATGAAAGGCTTTGGAGGACACATGTGTTTCTTTTTCAGAAAAAAACACAGGAGTCTACAGTCTACAGAGCTTGCCGATGCTCCCTCCTGTAGGTTTCTTCATGCATGTGCATGTGACTCTTTTTGGGGTTGTTGATCAATCCATTTGCGTCCAGTTGACTATGTTCAATGCGGCAGCTTCGGAGAATGGGAAGGTCCGCAGCTTTTGCCTTGTACAGGAGATGTGGATCCTCCTCAGATGTTTTGGAATGCTCGGATGGGTCATGGGTCGACGAGCGACGCGCAAAGGAGGACCTCCGGACCTTCGAGAAAAAAACACCCGAACTAATTACCGCTAAAAAAAAACAGTTGACACCAGATGGAACAACACCTGAGACCTGCAGTTGAGGAACTCATTGCTGTTCTTGCTGTCTCTGGAAGAAAACCTAACTCAATTGGGCCGTTCTGGTGCCCCACGGACCGAATGTCTCCCTTGGGCGGAATGGGAATTTGAGGATTAACAAGAACTTGGACCCTGCCAATTGACCAAAGTTACATAAAGTGACCAATGTTCTTGGCGGAAAGTGAGGGGTTCACACTTGCAAAATTGAGTGTGCTGCCAGATCAACACTGCAGGATGGCACTTCTTTCAGATGTGACTGAGAATAGCATGCTGCACGCTGTTTCGGAGAATCCTTTCCTCTTCAGACCCACCACGCTGAAGCACTGTTTTCATCCTTAGGCCCAGCAAGATACCAGTGCAGTGTAAGACGCACTGCTGGACATAAGCTGGAGTTGTGCCGCCAAGCAGTCACAGAATCTTGTAATTTTGAATTCTAAGTGCCACTGAAGTGATTGACACCAGTCAGAATCGATCACCAGTTTGGGGGCTTGGGGAAACCCCAAAACCGCTAGAACAGGTCGAACAGGTTAACCTGTATTTTCCAGGGGCTCCGAAGTCAAAGTCAGCGTTACGATAGACACGTCCATTGAGTATGGAGGATAAGATGTGCATATCAGGGGCATGTTCGGGACCTCTTTTACAAGTTCCAACCAGGAGCACACATTGACAGTTGCCCAAATCCATGCCCCCAAACAGGGCTGCTGTGACCGGTTTCTAGTTTGCGGACATCCTGCAGTAGCCACAGATCATTCAGCAATCTACTACAGAATGTCGTTAAATGCACCCTACATGTCCAGTCTGACCCAGTAAAACCTGACCCCTTACCTCATTGACTCATTTAATGTTGTATTTTGGTGATATGATCAACTCCAGTCAAATGGGGTCTTTAACCTGTAGGGATATACATAATTATATACAGTACATACATACTTACTTACATACACATACAATCATACATACATGTTTCTGTTTAAGCTTGGTGGCTCCACGACATCAGGAGATCAGCTCGGTGTCGCCGTTTTGGGCCATGCCGAGTGGCCTCCCGCCGCACCAACGTGCGATGAGAAAAGGGGGGCCGTGGCGTGACGGCACTGGACATGCTGAGGTGGACCTGAAATAAACCCTAGTTACATATATATCCCAACAGCTCCCAGACACTCCGTGGGGCTGCCATAGGACTGCCGATCAGGCCAGGGGTGGTGCCAGGGGGGTCAATGGGGCGGCATGTATGGCATGCATGGAGTGTATGGGAAATGCATCTAGATGAACTACTATTGACGTGCGCTTTGTTGTGATCGATGTTGGTGTTGCGGAATTCCACCACAAAGCAAACAATAGGGGAATGTCAATATGGGTATTATATCCTACTACAGGTGTTCCACAAAGAAACAAACATTCGATAGCCCCATGTTCCCTTTTGCACGCGTAGTGCTGAAGAGCAGATGCTTTAAAACTTTGCACTTCTTGAAGCTAGTAGCGATGCCCTTTGTTACTAGATGTTACTAGTAGCTTCTTGTTCCTAGTAAGAATGCAACCTAGGTAACCTAGTATAGTAAGGCCAGGAACCCCTAGTAGTAAAGGCCAGGAGCCCCGAACGTAGCGTCATGCTGGTCCTTCTCGCCGTGGGAAATCTCAGAGTGACTCGGACTGCACCGCATCCCATTGATTGAGCGGCGACCTGGTAGGAAGGGGCGACCTGGTAGCCATCCGACACCAAACACATCCGTAAAAAGATGGACATTGGAGTCGGCTTGGAGCACTTCTTGGACACCCACGCCTCGCATCCCGTTCAGCCCCCCATTCTGCAGAGAGAAGAGGTCGTGGATGCCCAGAACTCTGCAGCGCGTTTCTCATTGGCACCTACCTGGCGCGCCATCGGCCAATTCACCGTACCTAGTGGGCCTCAACCACAGGTGCGCGCTATTTTCAACAGGACCCCACACGGATCCACACGGTGTGTCTTCCCTTCTTCAGTGGATTCACTGAAAAGTTAGCCAGGCTTACTCCTTGCAACTGGAAGACTTCATCCGAAAGATCTCCGGTGGCGGTGGGCGCTACGTCCGGGCCTCCAAGAAGCGTTTTTTTCTTCCCGGTAGGGGGTTGGAGTGGTTTGGACACTGGGGGATGGAGGCGATCTTGGATGTTCACAAGCATAGGAGACCGGTGAGATTGTTTGGCACAAGAGTCATCAAGAGTCCATGACCTCTTATCTTCTGGATGTTTGGTCAGATTATATATTACGTCGCAGAAAAGGCTGAGGTTTAGTTCTTCAGGGTTGTGCACCTTCTTCATGCCAGCCAGAGAAAAACATCTAAAGGCAGGCTTCAGAACGAGATGACCAAGTCCTTGACATTGCCACATTCGCCACATTCACATCTATATATCAGCGAACTTCGCCTGGACTCCAGCTTTCTATCCCAAGAGCAATGAATCCAACGACCGGCCTCACCCTGTTCAGCACCTCCCGTCTGCACCAGGTCCTTCCGCTTCCGCTGAAGCGCGAGGCACAACGGCACATGAAAGCCGTCCGGGAGTCTCGGTGCGAAGGGCGTCGAACGCAGCATCCGCTGGTGCATCGGTGCATCCGCAGCTGGCTGGCATGGAGAGGCAAGCAGTTGGTGGGTGCAAGTCCCCTCCAAATGGGTCGTAGTGATCCTAGCAAAGCCTAGCAGGTGTACCTTTGAAGTCGTTGTTTTGCCCTGGACACGTGATCCAAGCAATGGAATGAATGGGCTCCTGGTTCTAGTACTTCCAAGAATGGACGAATAATATGGGTTGGTCGGCACGTCATCGCGAATTGCTGCTCCATCCATGAGAGTCATTGATCGAGCTCCGATTTTGACACATAGGCCCGCAGCTGCTTCAGAGCAGCCCAAGATCACCCGCAATTTGGCTCGTTCCCATTCACCCCGCACCGAGGTGCCATGATACCTTAGACCATTTTCCATGACACCTAGGTTTTTTTCCAACCGGGGGTTGGACCACTGCCAGGAGAGTGTTTCATGGCCCAAGGTCAAGTGAAGGTCTATGTCTATATCTCTTTAAATTCTATAAATTGTAACTTATTCAGTGTCCTCCCAGACGCGCATGCTCGGCCGTGCCGCTTTGGCTTCAAAACAGGAGAATTTACACGGCAAAAATCTGAACAATTTAGATAGGAACAAGTTTCAATCTGGAACCAGCCAGGGTGGGAACATCCACATATATCATCATATATCGACATCAACCCACTTTCACAACCCCTCCAAAACCCCAAGAAGGTGCATGTGGCTGCCCTGACAACCCAGTTGAGACTTGTGCGCCATCATTCCTGGCGCCGAGCCACTAATTTGACATCGATGGTACCAACAAAGCAGGTGCATCTTACCGGGACCCGGAGATTCTTGCCGATTTTCGGCAGAGATCCATGTTTTGCAGTATGTGAAGCTATGTGAAGGTCAACGATCAACGGCGACTCAAGGTTTGGTAGATGTCTTTTCGACCCCAACCAACGCTCGAAGCTCGACATGACACGGATAGGGATGCTCATTGCTTGGCCATCAATGCACCTCCACAGCCGAGTCCACCGGGCCGCTTCCACCGTCCGACTTCGCTTCCACCGGGCCGCGGGGTGCGCGGCGCGTTCCGCCGACGGCGACTGGACACCAGGACGGCACGGACGCCATTCGGAGGAGGGTGGGTGGAGAGTCGAAGAAAGTGATGAAAAAGGGTCAAGGATGGTCAAGGTGTTAAGATGTAAACGGGGGGTGTTCCAGTGAATAATTATAAACCTATATATCCAACAGTCCGGTAATACAAGCCCATCACTATTTTACAGATCTCCTGCAACCAGGCCCCATCCACCGGGCCCGGGTAATGGGATACTCTCAGGTCCTTCATCCGTTTCTGCTCAACCGGCGCATATCGATGCATATCGCAACGGAGATGCTAGGATGCTAGGATGCTATGCTAGGCGGGTCCTTTTAGAATCAAAAGGCGCTCTTCTGCCACACGGTGACCTGGTGTGGTTGGAATGGGTGTGGAAAGGAAGACTGAAGACTAATCCGCTGCAAAATGGTTCAGCTTTGCATGCAATCACATAGCACCACCACCGATCCATGATCATCGAGTTCAATGCATTACGTGCAATTTTAAAGGCGATCCCTTCCCATCACAAAATCAGCTGGATTTTGCTGGCAAATTTGCTTCCATGTTTCCATGGTCAGATTAGGGTTAGGGTCAGGCACTTATTGAAACTGAGGTCTTTTGGGTCTTCTTTTTGAAGGTCTCCACGTTGACGTGAGGAGCTCCAGCGAGTGCGGCGGCACATGGACAAAGATGGAGACCTTCCTGGAGCAAGGCCCAAGCTTTGGGGAGTTTCGACGGGCCGACGGGCCTGAGCAGATGGCAAAACCAACTGCCCACCTAATGATAGCCTTATTTCTAAGCCCTGGTGGGGACCGGCGATCACGATCCCAAATATCAAAGTTGCAGCTTCACATGAAGTCGGAGTATGTGCTTTATCTTCTATAGGTATGGTGTTTAACCATCTGTATGTTTTCGATCAATGCCAGCTAGATCTCCGCAAGTCTATCTCAACATTCAGCACTCTCTCACAACTGACTCGTGCTTAGTAAGGAATCAGGGTGGGTGGTTCCTGAGTACATCCCCTCAACTTCCGCGACAGGCTCCCGCAGCACCCATGACGCTCAAATCTTCGCAACGCTGCCAGTCCGGAGGACCCAGGTGTTGGGGAGTAAGTACCAGACTTAAAAGTGGCAGGTGGTGACCTGTTGGAAGGTGCTGGTATGTAAGCTTTTTGTTGGATTTCATGAAGCATTGGGAGGTTGATAGGATCTTTACCCGGGTGACGATGTGCCTCCCAAAGAGAGACTTCGTAGAGACTTTTGGGGGGAGACGTGGCCCGGCCTCAGAAAGATGCCCAGCCGTCATCCCTAGCCTCAGCTCCTGCCAGTCTACTAGAGGTGCAGATCTCTTCTTCTCCCAGGACACCTACCTAGACCATTGTAGGCATTGTAGAGTGCGGATCTACTAATAGGTGCAGATCATCGCAGATCTATTAGGCTATTTTTCACAGACCCTCGCGGACCACGGTGCGTCGCGGGGCCTTTCGGCTCAGGTGGAGGTGGAAGGCGGTCGCAGCCAGCGTCGCCTCTCGCGCCTGGCAGCTGCCAGTGGCAGTGTGCTAGCGGTGCCCCGGGCACCAAACGAGAACGTCGGGGGAGCTGTTGGGCAAGAGACTTCTTATGACTTTTTTTGATTTCTCGCAACACTATAGATTGTCAGACCGAATTCATATGGGGAGGTTCACATGATTAAGAGTCCAGAAACATTCATGTTGACCTTTGTACCACCCATGTTTTCTTTTGATTACTGCGGACTGCTGGGGATCAGATGGCTCGTCTCTTCTCATTCATTTGGATTTCACCGCCCCAAAGCCTGAGCAGCCGCGATTCAGAAAGAAAAGGACAGGGTTCACCACGTGTGGCCGAAGTTTGCCATCAGATCTCGGCAAACGAGTGTATACTGTGTATACATTGGTTGTAAATGGTTGTAAAATATGTTTGTGACCATCATCACACTCCATGTAAGCAACAGGAACCCGCCACGTTTGAATGGCTGGTAGTGCATGTAGAGATCATGTGTACTTAATAATGTATGAACCATTGGGCTATACTAGGACCCACGGTCGGGTTGGTTAATGGACACCCCGAATCACCTCTAAGGGGCTATCAATAGAGACCAAAAAATACCAATATAGACAGACCAATACTGTGTATACAACCAATGGTTGTAACATATTTTTGTCCAATAGACTACCCTACTTACAGGTCTCCAGACAGGGCACCCAGACAGGAAGGGACAGGAAGTGCTAGGCTGGTGGTTGATTGAACTCGCTTGCCCGACCGGAGACGAACCCCACCACGCACCGCTCTAGGCCTTCCAAGGTGGCGAGGTGGCACGTCGCTTGGCACGTCGAAGCTATACGATCGGATGGGGCGCGGACCCGCGCAGTCTGTTGCACTGGTGTGGACTGGGGAGGTTGGTTGATATCAGGGACCCACAGAGAGAGTAGAGAGATTGTGGCATACCCAGGAAACGTGGGATAACCTGTAAGACCAATTCTGCCGAGTGGTGGTTTCCCCGCTAAACATGAACGGGTGCAAAAGGTTAAGCACCTTTATTTACGAGGGAGATCTGAGGGAGTTAGAAGAGAGAGTGAGAGTTCCTGCAAAGTGTTCAGCCTATCACTCTGAAGTGTCACTCATTTGGAATTCCTGTTGCTTGGCTCCTGTGCAAGGGGCAGTTGAGGTTTGTCATGTGTTTTTCCGGCCTTCTTGGGTCTTGTGAAACATCCACCGCCTTCCCCGCTTATTTTGGGGCTCCCTGCCTGCACCCTGCTTTGCGCGCGTAGAGCGCGTTCGCACCGCGGTGCAGTTGGGGGGGGTTCTGAGGATGGTATCCCGATGAGGACGAGTTCGCCTTAATCGACTTCAAGGAGCAAGTAGGCCACGCCTGCGTGAGGGTGAAAAGCGTGACAGGGGTTCGCAGCAGACTCCCAGGGACCAATGCTCTGTTTTCCATTGACTTTGAGCATCAAGAGGAGTTTCAGGACGGTGGGAGGGAGGGGTTGTGCGATTGTTTGTGTGTTATTCTGTGGCTTGATTGGTGTCTTGTGAAGATGAACAAGAGATAACAAGAGTCAAGGCCCTTCCCCGTCCAACCCGGATGAGCCCAGGGTGATGAAGGCGCTAGGTCCAACCCATTCTTTTCATGTTCGGCACACTGTCGGGTTGTAGTGTTGCCCACCTGGGCATCATTAGACCCACCTGGGCATCTCCATACTCCTTCCAGTCGCTCGAATCCCCGATGTAATTCCTTGCATATCATGTCAACGTCATTCAACATCCAAGGGGCAGCCCCTTACCCCCCTTCAAAACAATATCAAAGATGTATACAGATGTGTTTTTTTTCAGAACTCCTCAGTGACTCAAAAGAAACATTTGGCCTGCGTATCATCGATGACCTCGATGACCTCGACCCAGAACGCAAGGTGAAGTGAGTCGGGTCTTCCTGGACGTGACGGGCTTTCATGCACTGCTGACCAACAGCAGCGGTGACAGCTGGTACTTGAACTTCCAAAGCCCCTTGGTGGCTGTGAGGTCACACCCCCCATGGGACCACGAGGTGATAGGAAGACGTCAGTTGCTGCAGCCTCTCTCCACCGACGCTGCCGTTTTTGCTTGCTGCTTGCTGGACCTATAAGAGAAGTTGAGCCAAAGTGACTATAGACTATAGTAGAACTTTCTGAACGCCACAGTCAATTGTGGGATCCCAGACGTTCAACGATTCATGCCAAAATGCGTTTCATTCCACCTTGTTGGGAGTTCTAGGATGTTCTAGGATATCTGGAAGAATAGCAGAGTTGGCTTGTGAGGTGGTTGATTTTTCATCCACATATTCTTTTTTGAGCAAGTTGATGAGTCGGGAGGGTAGCTTAGTTTCTTGATTCGCCAAGCATTGGCATTATATATAATCAAAACTTGGGCTTAGGCGATTCCCACACTCCTACAGTCCTCGAACATGCTACTTTATAAGTTATAATTACTGTATCACTTTTGGAGCGGAGATCCAAAACCAACAAGTCACCCTCCACCCGCCCGAAATCCAAGTCACATCCCCCACATCCCTCAGCGTAACCGGGGCAAATCCGCCCCTGAATCCGCCCGGCCTTGGGATTGTCACGTCACGTCCGCGCGGAAGTCCGATGCGCTCAGGTACTCAGGCGCTTCGCTTGTCCAAGCTGACGCCCGGCGACGTCGGATGCGGAGCACTCCTCGGGACGGTGTTTTCACCCCAGGGTAAAAATGGAATCCGAAAGCCCCAGAGGACACAACCCTGCAAGTGAAGCACATGCAGGATCATGCAGGCACTCGGAAGTGCAGGCACTCGATGTTGTTTCCCATGGGACGTGTCATCTCATTGCCTCCCTTGGAAGTCGGCGTGAAGGTGCTTCATAGGGGAATCACGAGGCGTGTGCCCCTTGGAGTGGTTTTTGGCTGTCAAGGGACCAGCCGCACAGCAGCCTGCTTTTCAAAGCCCCACAGCAGGTGGACAGGAGGATACTGCTAGGACCTTCCAAGTCCGGTTTTGGGACACCTTTGACACCTAACAAGCTATAGGCTCGGTCGGACGTCGATCCTGGAAGGTGTTTGACTGCGGCCGTGGACGGTCGCACTGGCAGCGATCGACCAGACCAAGTTGGCACTCCTGAATACGACCGACCCATTTAAGTCCGGTGCCATTTTCTTGGTATGGTCTTTATAGTTTAAAGCCTTTAGCTACACAGTCTATGAAGACCACATACCACCAACATGGCACTGGACTTCTTACCTGCTAGAAACGGGCCTCAGAAGCACTAATATATTGCGCGCACGCACCTAAAAACAACACGAAGTCTATCGGTCGTGTCTCGCAGTCTCGTCCAAAATGTTCATCCAGCCCTTTCTGCATCCGCGGATGCAATCCGGCTCGGCTCCTTCGTGCCGTCTTCGCCTGTTTCCTCTTTTTGAGGAAGGGCCATGTCTTGGAAAGTGCCTCCTGGGACGTGGAAGCAACCACCAGCAGCACCCGCGACCTTTTGCTCGGCCCCTTGGGAGAAGAACATCCACCCTAGGGCTCCAAGTACCTTCTAAGAAGGTGTTTGGGGTGGGTTTAGAGGGTGCAGTCATACCTTTTGAGGAGGCACTTGGAGCCCTAGGGCCAATCATTTGTTTAGGGGTGCTGGGGGGTGGTGGGAGTGCTGGCGAGAGACGGGCGATGCAAACGGAGTTGCGAACCGGGGTGCAATGGGGCCGCTGGTTGGAAGAGATTCTTGGGATACTGTCCAGCCTCACTGAATGTAGACTCATGATTGACAAACGCCTTTATCGCATTCTATAGCAGGAGGTTATTTTTATTTATTTGTCATCCAAGAGTTTATGTTATCCAGCTTTTTCAAAGTGAACCTTTTGCACTCCCCAGTCGTGACCTGTTACGGGGCGACACTGGCCTTGCTACGTACTCTATCGGGGCTCGGGGCTCGCATCGCTGCCGAGCTTCGGAGCGAGCGCTACGGACCGGGCTTCCAGATCTCACGGACCGATCGGTCCACAGATCGGTCCGAGCTGTGGGCCACGGATGGTGAGAATCTCTAGACGAGCTCATGCATGTCGTCTATATGTTTGTTTCATTTTGTGTCTATGTTTGTTGGTTATGATCAAGTCTGATATAGCTCATAAACAATGAGATATCAAGAGATCATGTCCAGCCACGTGTTTGAGTCTCCAGAGACCGCCAGTATGCTGGTCTCGTCTCATGGCCATCGATGAACAGCTGTGGTCCAGCCGGCGAAAAGTGATGGGTTTGAAAGAAGAAGGACACACATGACCAATGATATTATTCAATATTATCAAATGATTACTGTATATTATCCATGGATTATATTATTGGTCATCGGATTATTGGTCATTTACCAATAATATCTTTGCAAGGGAAGATGTGTTGGATCTTAGTTTTCAGGGCCTGTGGCCAAGATACGTCTAATGCCAACACTGCAGACCCCGCACAACCAACATTTGCAGACATACAGAACTCCCTACCAAACAATACATGCATGCAGAAACGACGCCGACAAAAAGGGCGACGCTAGTGCCATCTCATACCATTTCTCATTGCTGTTCAGGGACCCGTGCGGGACAGATCCTTCAAGTGGTCATCGAATCCAAGGAGAGCCGGCGGGGGTGGAACCACCGAGTCGCTTGACGTCGCGAGCCGAGCCGCGACAAAGTCGAGCCGAGCCGCAGGAAAGTCGAGTTGCACACTACTTCTTGAAGAGGAACAAAAACCGGAACGTACCCCCTGGGAGTCAAAGACTATAAAAAGAATGGTCTTTAGGGGAACTGAAAGGGAACTTCCTTTACTTCAGCCGGTCAACATATAGTCTTTGGACTTCTAGGGTGTCCACATGGAAGTGGAGAGACCTGGAGAGACTTTTTGTTCATCTTCTTTCTGAAGAGGAAGGGCTGAACACTTCCATGTCGTGTGCTCGTGTGCTCGCTCGTCGCACGTCGAGCGAGTCGAGTCGCTCCATCCGGACGGGGGGCTTGGGCATGCCGTTCCGGGTCTTTTCAGAAGCATGGTGGGCTGACCTACAGCCTTGTTTGCTTGATGTTGTGTGTTTTATTCTGATTTTTTGGGATCTTTGAGGGGGATACCCTGAAGTGATCAAGCAATAGGATGCAAAAGCTATATTATGCATGGTAATTACCTGGCTTCGACCCCTCTATACTCTATGACTATGATTTGCAAGGTCCGATATCAGTGGCTGGGCCGATCAACGCCCCGCGTTTTTGGGGCAGGATGTCCTTTCGGCATGATCGAACTCAGCTTCAACAACTCGAGCATCGAACTCGCCAGTCTCCGGACCCTCCACCGATCTGGTGCCGGGAACTGTCCGACGAAGAGTCGACGTGCTTCGACTCCGCACACGCGCCGCCGACGCGTGACGTGCCACAGGAGAAGTCCATTAAGACCCTTTGTGAGTTCGAGCGTGCTGCTCCCGTGGTGGGCCTACGAAGAGCCACCCGGCGCGGGCCGGGTTCAGGGCGGACCCTGGGAGGTAGGTATACACCTGGAAGACTAAGAGGAGCCCAAAGAAAGAGGAAACGCATTCGCAAGAGGATGGGTCGTTCCAAATCAGGGCAACCTGGTTTGAACATGGTTGAATGATGTTTGATTGAAGAAATTACGATGAACCACGCGTGTCCGCGAACAGGGCGAAACATGCCAACCGATCAGCTTGCTTTTTAGATCTCCCACCACCTAAGTAGCACCCAGTCCAGCAACTGGATATGACTTGGACCCCTGAACTTGTCAAGTTGCACGCTTATTACAGGGCGCGCCAACGCGCCAGCGCTGGCCCGCGCCGGCCGAGCTGGCCCGCGCCATCGGTCATGAGTCATGACCGAGGAGAGAGTCTTCTCCACGGAAGATGGCCTGGAGCGACTGGTCTTGTTTGCAGCGGCGGGCTGCAGCTTGTATGCCTTTGTGGGCGCTGGATCCCTTGAGACACTGGGCGCCGAGACTCTGGGGATCGACGGTATATGGGAGGGATGAGGGAGGTGGAGAGGACTGGGGGGGAGTGAGGGTTATGTGGGAGTGTCAAGGTGTTTGGGCCAAAGAAATCAGGTTCTGGGATGTTCTGGGAATTTTTGGGTGTTTGAAGGGGCGTGCTCTAGACGAGGCAGGCTTCGCAATTGTTGGATTCTGCCCTGATCTGTGGACACAAAGGTTTCAAGCAACTAGGGAACCTCCCCAAATCATGTTTATCAAGTTTCACTGGCACCGCTCCTTTTTCGCGCGATCGCCGCCCAGGAGCCTCTTCCAGAGATACCAAGGGGAACGCGTGACGAGCCGCGCGCGCATCTATGAAGTCCCCTTCGACTCGCCGTATGGCAGGGCGGGTTGTGGCGGAGCATGGCGGAGCGTGTGCATCTTGCGAATGGCCATGGCCCGGCCCTGTCCACGTATGATTGATAAACAGCACCAAAAAGAAACTAGCATCTTGCACATTTGGGAAACCGTTGCATGCAACCGTTGCACGTCTTTGCACTAATATGTTTATGCACCAAGAATATCAAAGAGCAAAGCCAAAAGCTTTTTTTGTGTTATGATTCATGTGTTTCCTTTGCAGTGTGTGTGTGTGTGTTTTTTGTGATGGCTTAGATGGGTTCCTGATTGAATTGATTGGATCCTGAGAGGCATGGAACCACATTTCAGGGGGGACTTTAAAGTTTCATAAAGTTTCTCACCTTGCCCAACACCCGGAGCCCCAAACCCAGGATTTCATGGGCCTTTGATCCCACAACAAAATGCCAAAGATGTTTGGCAATCAAGCATTCATCGGGAAGGACCCCAAAGCATCTACTAAAGGTACCCCTTATGCAATTTCTTGGCACCAAAAATGTCAATCCATAAACGGTGCTGAGTTTTTGTTGGCTACTCGTGGAAGTATGTTGATTTCCTTTCCCTTCCCTTTCGCCAATTTTTAACACAAGTCCAGATCCTGGCCGATATCCGGCACAATTAAAACAGCTTTTTGGGTAGGGATATTGAAGGTGCCTTGATTATCCTTGATGTCCATTCAGTGTGATTCAGGCGGGAAACAAGGTCCCTGGTGATTGAATTTTAGGTCCACAAACTTCCATTGGGATCCATATTGGGGGTGTATAATCACAGGAAAACCTCACCTGCCAGATTGACCTCCAGGGAAGAAGGGATATATATATATATATATATATAGATCAAAACCTATTGGTTGGGAGTCTTCCTATCAAGAAGCTCACTCATGTCATGAATTGGGTGCAAAGAAAGGAGCGTCGCCAGACGCTTGGCAGATGTCGGCAGCATTGACAAGTGACCAGATGTTCACCCAAACCTTGGGTAAAAGGCACTGGGACTTGTGTGGTGACCTTTTTGTATGATATCAAGGAGGTAGTGATATGTTATGAAATGATAATGATATCATTGATATCGTAAAAAGGCCTGGTATACGGTAGTAAACAAAGATATCAAGGACCGTGAGTATGAAACTCCTTGATATCTAGGTCAACTGGGTCCAACAAGGTCCGACATGGTCCGACTAGGTCGGTGAACTTGGCTAAAGCGTCCATCGTCGTCCGTTTTGGGAGTTGATTTGGAGGAGTTGGTCAAAACTTGCCGTTCCTCCCAGGGAGTTGGTGAACAATTGCACCGAATTCTCAAGACTGGCGAACACTTCCCACAGATGTTTGGGTGACCTGTTTCGGTACGCCACGAGTCTGGTTGACGTAGCGAATTCCGTGAGCAACATGCCCAGACACTCCATGGGACTGCCTGGTATATGCCTACATTGACCTCCAAAACCACCCCAATGTAGGCATACATGGAGTGTTTGGGATGCATGAGCACCTCTTCCACTTCCAGACATGGGGCATCAACACCGACATCGCGACTCTGCAGGCGACTTGCAAGTCGATGAGGCTTGCGTGGGCCCACCGGGCACGAAGGTGCTTTTTTGGCTTACTGGAGTCGGAGTGCTGGCAGCCAAAGTGCTTTCCATGACCAAGGACCAGACCTGTCAATGGGTGTTCAGCCTATGCAGACAAGCAAAGCATGAGTTTGTGAAAGATCAAGGGTCCGTGACAAGGCACGAATTGGCCGCATCAATCTTCGGTGTTTGGCAGAGCGTGGCGGCTTCGTGTGCGGTGGTTTCAAGAATAGATTTGCACAATCCCAAAAATAAACAGAAAACGATCTAAAAAGGACATATTGAGGTTTGCACCTTCATGTTTGAAACCACTGATGAATCTTTGGTGCAAGAGCGTTTTATACTGCAGCCGCGCAGTCTCAAGAAGCTGCCCGTGAATAACTTAAGGCCACCCATGGCCACTCACTTCGGGAATTCCCAAAATGGCAAGATGGTTTTGATTCCGGTTTGCCATTGTCCCAGTGATTGTTCCGAGCCAGAGGCATGCCATCCCGGATTCTTCTCCGTCCCCAGTGATTCTTTGCATGTTTCAACTCCCACCTCATGGCATCGGTTTGTGCGATGCAGCTCGTAATGAAGACTTTTGTCCAGTCTTAGTTTTTCCTCCCACTTGGACTTCCTACAGACTGCCTCTTCGAAGCGTAGTACGTAGGAACATTAGCAGCTTGCTTTCACCTGTTCCAGCTTGCTCACCATCCGTGCAGGACGCAGCTGGCAGCACCTGTTTATTGGAGTCTCCACCTGGCTTGGTGCCCTTCCCTAGTAAGACTGGCAGCGGACGTACTGGAGTGGTCTCCTCCTTCCTACCTGCGCCCCCGCCGCTGAGCTTCAACGAGCAGTGACCTGGTGGAGGGTTCGCAAATGGCATGCAAACTGAGTCGTTTCTGGGGAAGGTGTTTGCGTCAATGATATCCAAATATATATCCAACAATCAATGATTTGTTGTTGATACATGTCGACACCCTGTGTGGTGGCAGAATCCAATGTGGTTCAAGTGCACCCGAAATGACGGCATGTGTTTGTGTGTTCAATCAAGCAGAGCAGGTGTCATTTTGATGTTGTTTGTGTAAGGCTGAGTGCTTGGGAACTGGCTGTAACTAGACCTCCGCGTCAGCAAATTGTTAGAAGCTGTTGGCACCCATTGGCCGCAAAAAGATCACAACATTAAGCCTGTTCATTTGGGCTGTTGCTTCGCTGGCCTCGCGCCTCCCCCCGGGCATGGCCTCGCGCCCGAGGCCCCCGGCGCCCCGGTCCATGGCGCTGACGAAGTTTCACTTGATTTTCGCCTTCGAAGATCGAATCCTGGCATTCTTCGTCTCATTTGCATGGGTCATTACTTCCCCTATAGGGCTCCTGGCCTACCTCCTGAGAAGGTGGGCCAGGGGTGTGTGCCAGGGGGGTCCTGGCCCACCTTCTGAGGATATGGTTGGAGCCCTAGGGCTTGTGGATTCATTAGGTCTTGGTTCACCCCCCACAGCCCAACCAGGTTAGGTGAAGAGTGAGAGAAAGTGAAGGGCTAAAGTGGAAGATTATGGCCGATCAAAGTTGAAGCTTGGGATGTAGATCAGCAAGTCAGTAGATGTCAGTAGCTGTGGACAGGTCAAGATTCAAGATGACTCTGTAGCCCCAGAACTGTTGGAGTTCGGGTTGGAGCCTGAGCTAGCTGGTGTGGAATCTTTGCAAGACCCTCCTGCCAGCATTCACCAACTGCATGGAAGAGACGTACTGCGGCTGTTTGGTGCAAGAGGGCTTCCTTTGGAACACAGGCACTTCGTCCCCGAACCGCGCCAAAACGAGTATGGATTTGACCAGTTGAAATGCAACACACCAGGGTCATCCTGTCTGGGCGTCCAATAGACTACCCTACGTAAACAGGTCTCCAGACAGGGCACCCGTTGGAAGTGCTAGGCATGCATGCACCTTGATTGCCATGGTCGTTGACCTCCCAATCGCCCTGGCTTCGTGGCTTCTCACAGCGGCCGATCCTCATCCATCCGATCCTCCCCTCAGGATGGGTCGCCGTGAGCCGCATCACCCACGAGGCGGCGGAAGCGGGCGGGGGAAGCGGTCGGAGCGCTCGAAGCGCCGAAGAGAGACTGAAGGAGAGAGAGGGAGAGGGAGAGGTAATCAAATAATTAGATACCAGGGGTCACCTAAGGGAGAGATGTGTTGAGTCCCAGTTTGAGTCCCAGTTTGAGTCCCATCCAGTGAGTGAATGTGACAAGTGGGCAACCCCACTTCCATGGATAGCACCCAGTAGGAAACTCTTGGTAGATAGGAACACCTGACTTTTTGCTCGAAGCGTCGCAGGTGATTTCCGAAACCCATATAGTTGAGACGGGACGTCCTTGTGCCCCCATACTTTTCAGCTTAGAAATCACCACCAATCCATCAACACCAACAACGACCCGAACGAGAAGAAGCAGCAACACCCAAGAAAATCGCATCCATTCATCCAAGCCCTCCATCCATCCAACTTCACCCAAACCACCCAGCACCTAGATTCACCTCGATTTTGGATCACCAACCACTCCATATGCACATATATGCGCTATTTATATATATATATATACATACATGTTCTTCATTTATTGGTCATGATTTTCCCCTCCAAAGCAGGAGAACATGTAATGACTGTGATGATGTTGGTCTGTTTGTGGGTCCTTAGGGCCCTCACTAGCATCACCTCCCAGGTGGTCCAACAACAAGATTGGGCCATGTCCACTTACGGCCCGCTCCGGTGCCTCGCGCGGGACTGGCACGGCGAGAAGCTGTGGCTCTGCTCCGAGCGCCATGCCTTCGAGGTGAAGATCCACCAGGAGGAACGAGCCTCGATGAGGATCCTCCCACTGGCCCTGACTGATGGGGATCCCCAAATACAGATAGTGGCACGAGGGGGATCCACATACCTATGGGGGGGTGATGTTTTTTTCATATACCCTATGGATCCACAGACCGTACGGTGAGCAGGGAGACTAGTTATGAAGGCGCCATTGTCGGGTCCAATGACGTTCTGAGAAGGTACTTGGATCCCTATGGATAGATAGTGGCACGGTGCCCAATGCATTTTGAGTGCGGATCTACTTTTTCTATTTTTTTGGGGGTCTCTACTCAAGTGTAGACTCTTGATGAATCCCTTCCACCTATAAAGAAACACAACCCCCCCCCTTATATAATAAGAAAATCGACTCAACATGACTCAACTAACCTTCCACTTGGATTCTAAAACCTCTTCACTGATGGGTTGTTTTAACTATACATCAAGAGTCTACATTGCCCATTTGTTTGCATACCTTCTCCACCTTCCTGGTGGGAGGTCCAGGATGCTGTCCAAAGCCGAGCTGAGGCAGACTCCTCTAGTCTGAAGTTTCTTGTGAAAATCTAAGTACGGTGGTTTCAGACATGATAAAATCGACCAAGTTAGATTATTTGGAGCGGCATTTGGAGGACATCCTGGGGAAAAGGTGCCATCTACTCTGAAACCACCGTAGATTACCAGTATAAGGATCAAAAGTTGACCGCCTTTACGCGTTTCACTCTGTGTCGTGGGTCTTGCTGCTCAGGAAATGTGTGGGCCTTGCTGCTGCGATTGGAGCAATTCGACGATGCTTTAGCGGCCTGCCCCTTGCTTGGAACAATTTGAAAGCTTCAAGGATGACTCATCTAGCTAGCAGAGAGAGAGGGATAGGGAGAGAGCCACTGAGCAGCCGGTTCCTTTCCCGGCCGTGGTACGATTGCTTCGACATCATGCACCTGGCCCCACTTCACTGAGTGGAGCAGTGATTGCCTTTGGTTACTTGCTATAAATAGTTTTCCTTGGAAATAGGATTACTTATGAACACAAATACTCTTTAGCCGATTTGGTTTGACCTACTGTAAATCACTCCATAAGTTTTCCAAAAGCTCCCAAAACGTTCCAAACAATTCCAAATGCCATAAAATTATACACAATTCAACAACATGTAACATAGATGTTTTTCAACACGTTCAAACATTCAAAAAAAATCACACAATACAGCGCGCACGACCGAAGGGTGTTCCTTTGATGATTTTTGATGAACACCCCATGGGTAACAAATGAACATTTGCAGACAGTGTCACCTAGAGTCACCGAGAATGGCTCTTGATTCTCCTTGGCACCCACTGACCACTCCGATCCAACCAAACCCCAAACCTCCGCATCTCAGGTCGCAGCCCCTCCCAGCGGATGCGCGTGCTGTGCGCACACGGGGACTACCTCTTCCGGAAGGATTTGGAGATCGATGCTGCCAGGCGCCGCCCACTTTTGCGGCATGGAGCGAGCGGAGGGGGATGAAGTCCGAAGAAAGCGGGCTCACGTAGAAAGCGAGCTCACATTTGGACCATATAAACGGTGGAAAGCCCCATGTGTTGAGGTTCGTTCACCCAGAGGTTGGAGTTTCAGGATTCATGTTGGGTTCAAAAATACAGACTAACTAGTGGACTAACTGTCCAGCTACACTGGGATCGTGCTCCCAATTGTACATGGACAAGGTTACATGGACCCCTAATTGAACCACCGCTCAAGCATGACTTCAGTCCAATAGCTCAGAGGTTATTGAAGTTGACCCGTTGTGTGGAGTCGATGCCTTAAGCTATAAGCTACCCTGTTTGGGGTCGTTAATGGATACCCCTTAACCTCTAAAGGAGCTATAATTGAACACCCCTGAGGCCCGGGGGCCCAAAAAGCTACCTAATGACTTCGTTCCATGCAGGAAGTTTGCAGAAGCCACGGCCGTCCCGTGCCTTGTCCTTCGATGAATCCGGACGTCGACATCTCTTCAAGAGGTTTCAGCGGCGACGGTGAAAGCGCTGGCGTTTGATGGTACTTGGAAAGAAGACCGTAGCTAAAGCAGCCTCCTGACTTAGATCCTATTTGCGGGGCATAGAGGTATCAGTCATCGAAATGGTTCCTGGGTGATGCCCACATATTCCCACAGCAGGAGGGGTCAGAAACACCAAAAACAATCACTCTTGGTGTTGCTGAGGGACTTCTCAAGATTCAAGTTGCAAACTGGTTGACCACCACAGGAATAGGAGACCGGCGATCACAGAACAAGCGACGATGACCAATGGGATTGGATGGGCAGTGGTGCTCCCTGGTGTTGTTTATTTTCTTCGAAGATCTTTTCCATACCAAACACTCCATGCATGGCATATTTACAGACACCCTACATGGACCCTGTAAACCACTGGTTGGTAGAGGGAAAACACTCTTCCAGGGGCCATTGTCAGAGTCTATGTGAGTTTTCGGGAGTGTACACATATTTACATACATTGGGGTGGCTTCAGGGGTCAATGGGGCGGCATATATACCATTCCCATGATCCGATGAAGCAATCAGCATCGGTGTCCCGCAAGCAGTCGGCTCACCTTGACTTCGCTCCGATGGGTTTCCCCACACCGATCGGAGGCGTTTTCGATCGATCGATTGCGTCATGTTATCTGGCCCTGTGAGACGCCACCCAGCCACTCAGCCACCGTCGAATGATTTTGGGATTCTATGAAAGCTACCAGCTGCGCGCTTCTTAGTGATGAACAACCCTGAACATCACTGGAACCTCTTGCTTGACTAAGTCTCATAAAACAAATTCTCACCTTCATTCACATCTCCTTCTACCCACTCAACAGCCCTTCACCTGAGACAACCAGGTTCGAGCACGTGTGCCTGCGCTTCTTGGGCGCTGACCGAAAGGCGGGTCTCTTGGAATATCTCCGCTTGCGCCTGCGCCGGGCCGGTGATCAGGCGAGGCGAACGTGAGGAGGGGCCAGGGTGCAGCACATGACAGCTTCAAGCTATGGCAGCTCATAGGATCTAATAGGGCTATGATTCCAACATCCCAACAAAAGTACCCAGAAACATTCTGTCATGTGATGATCCGCAACCATCGAGGGAAAGGTTGTGGTTTTCAAGGGCAGAAAGGATCCACTCACATCCATTTGGGGTCTCAAACACCCAGTAGACTGCTGGTTGAAGCGGCTCATCTCTGGATCTCTCTGGCCATTTTCAGGTGACCCGATCCTTATTGAGCGTTTGGGCCGTGGAGATCGCCTTGGCACGCCTGGACGAGCTGCGCCCCTCGGGCGCAGTGGTGGCTTTTGGGTCGATGGATGTCGATTGTTTGTTTTCTCTCCCTGGAACTAACATGGAAGTGGATGGCACCACCTGTTTGTAGTGGATTTCATGTTCTTCCTTTCGGCCATGCCATCCACTTCCATGTTAGTTCTAGAACATGTAGAGCTTGAAGTCCGCATTTTCAAGTGCCACCACAGCAGACCACAGCGAACGGAGATGTTTGGTCACTTTTTTGGGGCTGGAGAGGGGGTGCGGTACGTAGCAGATGGTACCATTTGGCGACTAATTAGGCTGGAGTATAGGTAGCCGCCGCATGTGGCGGCTATCTTGTCATGTTACAGTTATACATCATGTTAAGTCAGATCATTCAAAAGTCCATGTGGAACTTCCAGAGCTTCACGTTTGGTTGGTGTTTGGGCCGTGGCATGCCGTGACATGCGCGTTTGGTTTTTACCTTTCTTTTTTCGGGGAGTTCCCGTACACCACGAAAAACATGGAATTGGCGGTGGTCTTTGAGTACCATTCCCTTCTCGTCCGCAAGACCCGTTTCGGACGGATGTGGAGGACGTTTCTCACTTGACCAATGGTCCGGCATGAAGAACAAGAGTCTAATAAGAGAATCTAATACATATAGTCATTATGAATAGAGTCTAGTATAGTATACTACATAATAGTATAGATATGGCGGAGTCTACCACTATTCTACATATTAGTCAGAGTCTAATACTCATTATGCCGGAGTATTATATATTATGTTGCCCAAGAGAGATCCCCACTATTGTATATATTCTGTGTCCATGTGACGCTTTTCACCCCACCCCACCGCACCCGACTCTCGGGCTCGATCGCAGGTTGCACAGAGGCTGCACAGAGCTTGGCTGCTGAGCGGCAGCAGCTTCTGGAGCTTCTGCAGCAGTGCACCGAACTAGACGCGACTGGGTCATCATTTCATGGTCAGCAGCTCCGCTGCGGGTTTGGGGGGAGATGAAGCAGCTCAGGGTTTGCATTGGAGTTGAGGAACGGTTGGGAAGGTTGAACAACTGGTGGACATCTCATGGTTTATGTTGTTTCCAGTGCTTTTCTGTATGGAAAGAGGCCGCAGTGATGAACACTCGCGTATAGAAGACGGTTCTTCGGACTGAGCTTGGAGTCTCAAGTCTCACGATGGAAAGAATAGCCGGGGGAGGGAAGGACAAGAGGACACCTTTTTCCTTCTGTTGTTGTCTTCTCGTTTCCCTGTCTCATCATGAGCAAAAACCGAACCAAGATTGCCATTGGATCGAGAAAGGCACTTATAGATTTTAAAGTGGACTGACTGGAGACAGTTCAGGCTTGCTTCCTGAATGGCTTGCTATGATAAATCCAACATACACCGGAGAATCACTCAAAGAAACGTGGGATATCGCGGAGATCCTGGGCAGGCATGCAAGGCCCGACCCCAAAACATCACCTGCTTCGCAGACTCAATGTCAGTCTGTGGAGCAGTTGCTGCTGTTTGGGTGAGCGTTTCGAGCCTGGTTGCAACACTCAATATGGTGAATCTAAAGCTGGACCCTTTCACCCCTGGTAGATTGACCATCTGACTGGTGCGACGAAAGCAGGGTGGCTGAGGGTTTTTCTGGATCCAATACAATCTCTGGGGGCGAAACTTCCCTTATTCCCTACAAACTCGTCGCACCAGTCAGCCATGTTTGGTATTCTATTCATTTTCAGTGACGGTCGGGTGTCCCAGTGCCCTGAACCCAGTGCCATGCGCCCGACACTGGGACCGGAGTGGGCTGTGTCCGGTCACGGCACCGGGCTGGGGGGGGAGTGCTTCGCACTGACTGAGAGTCACCAGTCAGAAGCCTGAACTTCCGCAAACGCGCCCTGGTCAGGTTCCATACTCTGGTTTGGCTTAAGGCGGTTTTCTTGACTGTTAGTGTTAGCGTGGATGCCCTTGAGTTTTTGCAGGCAGGTAGGGCCACGGTTTTGACTCAGCGCTAGAAATGATGGTGAGGAAATCCATGAAGGCCAGCCCTTATGGTGATGCATCCAAACTCACACAATCTGCCACATGTTCTTCAATTCCCAGGTGCATGCGACAATCTACCACCTGCTGCAGAGCCATGGCTGGCTCGATGAGCTTGACACTCGGTTCCAGCCGATCCGCCCGACTGACGGGATGCGTTCGCCCATGCCTTTGAATGTTTGTTCGGGGTTTTTAGAAACGAGTGGAATGTCAAGACATGTACGCAAGATGAACATCCAGAGAGTTGAATTCCGTGTTCGTCAAAGCGGTCTGACAGATGTTTTTCTCACACCAGTGTGACATATGCCTCAGCGTCGGCTTTCAACCTCCCGAGCTTGTTTCGGTAGATTTCCTTTATCAACTTTAGTCCTTCATTCATCGCCATCGTTCTTGGTTTTGCCGAGCAGACGAGTCCTTTCAAGCAAACCAATGAATCAATCCGCCTATTTTTGTGAGTCTTTGACCAAGTCCCTTTGAAAGGAGGTTTGGTCAAGCAGTCCCGTAAAAGCACGTGGGTTTGACCCAGAAGAACTGGAGAGAGAGAGAGGGTCCGACTGGAACATCCTGAACTGGAAGAGGTTCTTGAACTTGGACCAGCCTGCGAAAGCCATAGGTTGAGCGAGCCGAACCTGCGTACTTCACTTTTCTGTGCCTTTTTCCTCTAACCTCGATTGAGAGAGAGAGAGAGAGAAAATCTTTCTTTCGCTGAGCCACAGCAAGTGTCAATCAGCTGGGGGAAACATTTTTTGAGGAGTGTTCTTTTGACCAGTGCTAGACCTGCTAGATCAAGAGTATTGATTGAGGCGAGCTTTGCAGAGATGCGGAAGGATTTCACCACAGCACCTCGAGCACAAGCTGGGAGAGCTAAGGCAAAATGGGGTTCACACTTGGTAGCTACATCTTCAAGGCTGACTTAGAAGGGCATTCAAAGGCGATCAAAGGCGTGTGTTGCCAAATGTTGTTTGGCAGAATTTATGCAAGTTGTCCCCGCTCACTTGCGGCAACCAATGAAGTGTTGACCCTAGCGCTTTAAGTATATTCCAAGACATGCTTTTCGGATTCATGCGGGGTGCATGTCCTTATCTTCTCCAAACATGACACGCGGCCCTTCATGGGGGGCCGTTGGAAGATGATGTGACTCTATACTCTTCGCGGCGCCTACCCCACATGATTTGCGGCTGCTACCATCCATCATTGGGGTTAAAATCAGGGGTGAATGTCATAGCAATACATCGATGGTCTGGGTATGTCTGGGTATGTCTGGTACCCTAGGGATCCAGTTGTACCGAACCTCAGAAGGTACGACTGGGCCCGACTCCTGGCGCCTACATCAATAGTCTCCCTGCTCACCGTACCTGAGAAGGTACTTGGATCCCTAGGGGTAATAATAGTTCAATCATATTTTGGGGCGGCCAGTCATGCCTATCGCCGGCCAAGGACTGCCCATAACATGCAGCACCACCATAAGGAAAACGGGTGAGGGAGGACAACTCCCGTTTGACGGGGGACTCGTTCACCTACTTGCAACTTGCAAAACATAATCAAGCCATTAAAAGACCCAAAGGCTTCAACCATATCCTCAAAAGCATTCAACAGGTGGTTAGACCGCTAGAGGGTCAGACCCCCTGGCATCCACCACTGGCACCCACCTTTTCATGCCACGTCGCATCGTCCCATAAGTTCCCCGCCTCGGACGAGGTGATTTTGCACCACGTGAGCCGGCGCGAGGGGACGAATGCGATTCGAAAGCTGCAGCACTTTGGTGCGTCCGCCGGACAAGACCTGGCCACCTGGCAAAACAGAGATGGCGCCAGCGCATGGTTGGGGTGTTTTCAGAGGATCTTCTCTTCTGACTCAGTCCATTCCCTGTGCCCAAGTTATAGTCTAAAGTTAATTAATCCAACATGGTCTCACATTCACCCCTCTTCCTGCCTGAGTGATAATGGAAACTCTTGAAGCCACGCTGTCGGTTCGCCCACCCATCATCCGTTCCACAATCCCCAGTACCATCCCGGACACGCCCCGCTGCCCCGCCACATGGTGCGCATGGCCCGTCAGGTTTGTAACTTCGCGCCCGTTCTTTTCGGCTCTGCTCCGGCAGCCTTCACCTCACTCCTTCTGAAGCAGCCCAGCTTGGCGCCTGGGCGGTCTAGCGTGCAGGTTGTGAGTGTTGGCCAGGCGAACGAGTCACTTGTCCAGAGGATGGGACGTACTATGACTATGCAGGTTCCATTCCATAATGTTGAGTATTACACAGTTAATCTCATATGTGTCACTTGTCCCGGTTGGTGGGATTTCACGCCCCAGATTAGCGTTTTGCTGCAAACAGAAGTGTTCGCCATATCTTCCGAAGTAGCCTTTCTCAGCTTTCTCAGATTCTGTAAGCTTCTTTGCTTTTCTCAAGCTTCATGGGGTACCCACTCGACTGGGCAGTCACCCGCACCGCTTTCCCGTTTTTTTGGGGGGGCGCCAGCCGGGGCCGCCCGCCGGGCATCCAGGATCCATTGCTGGTGCTGCCAGGGGTCTACTCACCTCAGGGCATGCCCACTCACAGGCGCCCATGCGAAGACAGACCGTGGGTGGGTGACTGGGGGTGACCGGGTTCCAGCACACTTGGTTGAAATAGAGAGGCGTGGTCTTCATGGTGACTTGGCGTGCGTTTAGCACCAGTTTGACGTATGAATGTGTTCCAAAGCCTCAGGAACACTTCGGGAATAGCACTTCGGAGTTGGGAAGCTTGTTAGAGACCCATTGGGCCGAAAGAAACATGTCATTTTCTCCACCTTAGGTGGTCCATAGCACTTGGACCCCCATATGATGTCCCGGCCTTGGTAGATCCGGACCCCCTTACACCACTTCACCACGAGACGACGGCCGCGTCCGCGTGGATCGACAGACAGACGCCCCATCCGACCGATGCTGCGCCGCGTCCGCGTGGATCGACAGGACGGAGGCCATCCGGTATTTGGAGCACGCGGTGCGGCATGGCGCCGAGCATCCGGAGATGCCGAGCTTCAAGGGAAGCGCCTTCCGCGCAGCAGGAGAGAGATGAAGAGAAGAACGAAGCGGGTGATGGCATGTGATGGCCATGATGGGTGTGGAAGAAGGAGGGAAAAAGGATGAAAAAGGAGGATTGCCAGACAGTTTCGGTGTGATGTGTGTGTGTGTTTTTCCATGTTTTTCCTGTAACTATACTGTAACTTTAGATTCTAAGGATTCTAAGGTTCAATACTGAAAGCTCATATTTCATAATCGATTGGGTGGATCATCATGAGGTGGGAGGTTGTGGGTGTGGGTTAGAGTTAATCTCGGGGGCTTGAGGCCAGAGGGTTGTAGAGGAGGGTATTACTGTAGTTTCAGAGTAGATGGTACAGACCTAATTTTTCGTTCAGATGGGGATGATGGGGTCCATACTGGGGTCCATATAAACCGACATTGGGGGTGCCATCTACTCTCAATCCACTATCAAAAAATCAACAATTCACTGCACATCCAAGGTCTTCCCGTCCATCAAACGTGTGGCACCGGGTTCCACTTGTGCTTGCACTGCTGCAGCCCCTCAGACCATGTGCAATTCTTCGGCCAAACTTGCGTACGTAACAGTGGCATATATGAGAACATGCTACGCCATACTGTTGTCCCCAGGCTGGCACCATACACTTTACAAATTTATTGATATCCCCTATGTTGCTGTGTTGCCTGAGTGGAGGACACCTGCTGCTGGACCACCCAGAAGATGGGACACAGCGCTCAGGTACTTTGGCTTCGTGCTTTTTCAGCAGGGCTTTCAGCAAACCCAGCAGTGTAGTTTCGTGTTGGATGCGTTCAGCATTCCATCCGTTCCACCATGCACCAGCTACCAAGCATGTTTGCTTTGCGCCAGCGATTTCATGGTTTCAGATGGTTTCAAGCTGCATGGTTTGAAAGTTCTTTGCCAAACATCACGTCCTTTTCAGTTCGACGGAGAGAGGCTGGGCGAGTGGCACTGCTCTTCTGAATGCACTGGTGGTCATGTTTGCTGACGGCGGTGAGGAGACAGGCGGGGTCCCATGTTTCTAAGGCTCCAAGTGCCTTCTTAGAAGGTACAGTACTTAAATTGCATAGATGGTGTTTGGCATGGGTTGAATCATTACGAAAGCCAGCCTTCGTAGAAGGCGCTAGCGGAGTTGTGTCTGGCGAACGAAGTGAGTAGTTAGGGGGTCTGGGGGGGTGGCCCGAGAAAGGGACACGTCAACTCAGCACATGCTGGGGGAGGAGGGTGCTCCGAGGGAAGGTTTTTTGAGGTTGTGTTGGAGGTGATTTTTGAGGGGTGGTGATGCAAGAAATGCCAAATGCATCATTTGCATCATCTGAATGGAAAGGTGTAGTTGGCACCTTGCAAGGTAGAGAGACCTAGGGTAGCTATAGTGCAGCTACCAGGTATAGTACTTCAAGTTCCCTTTCCGTCAACCGCTTGAGAACCTCTACACACGCACAGCAAGCCACAGCCTTGAAGTCTCATTCGTGCTTTGAACTTGTATAGGTGTGTAAGAGGT